GAGTTACTTTATTGAATACTTCATTTTCGCCTTGAAAATTTACAGATTCACAGGAACTAGACAGTTTGCGGAATCAACTTAACTTGATTCAAGATCATCTCGCACGTATGGAACACGAAAGAGATCGGCTAGAAAGCGAAAACCAAAGGCTCAGATGCACAGAAGGAGACAGCCGACGTTCTACTGTGGACAGCAGTGCTGGAATGGAAGCTTTGGTACGAGAGAATGAAGCGATTAAGAGCAAGCTGAAGGAAGGAGACAGGCGACTACGTCACCTTGCACGTGAAGTTGCTCTCATTGGATCAATCGAACGGGACCATGAGTGGATAGAAAAATACAATGATGCGAGAGAAACCATAAAAGAACAGGAAATACAGGTTGGTTTTTCCAAATTTCAGGTTGTTCTCATAATCCAGTTACAAACAGAATCCTAAATTGGTGCATTTTCGTGCTACCTATAGCTTTCTCGATCGAAGAAACGTGTGGCCGAATTGCAAGATGAAAACGCACGTTTACGCGCCGATGAACGAAAAGTAGAACAACGCTCACGGAGGGCGCAAGAGAAGGGTAGTTCCACTCCACACATGAGTCGAGAAGCACTGGCTCACGAGATCAAATCTTTAGAAGAAGAGCTGGGTATGTTGTAGCTCGGTCGAGGCAAGCTAAACACTAGTTTTTCTTACATATCAGCTGCTGCTCTCCAGCTTACGTACGGGTGGTTTTCGACCTCGGTCATTTCTTCTCACAGTTTTGCAGCTTATATTTTTGCGGAAACGCAAACTGCCTTCTCAAGACATCACGTGTAAACCGTCCTAGTTTCGCTCATTAGAATCGCAAAGTGGAACTACATGTATATATATAATAATGGCTATTGAATGTAAATATTCTGTTACTCTTTGGCATACCTTCACTGGAGAGAAGTATGCCATACGCACATGAAGAAACCATCAGTTGGAGACTTGTACCTTGTTCTATCTATCTCGTTAGATGAAAAAACCTGCCCCGTCTGTATCCGAAGAAGTAAAGCGAACAACAACCGCTACGGAATAGCGATCGGTTCATTTAATATACAACCCGTGGTTCTAGAAGGGTACCCAAAATAGCGTCAGTTTAACATCGACCTCATTCTGAAGAAAAGGATTAAACTGGATGGCAAAGCGACCGAGTACTAGCCTACCACAATCATTCCAAGTTGCCTAC